TGGTGGTTTCATACTGTGATTTTGGAGTAAGGTGATTTCACTCAAATGCTTGCCTGTATGACCAACCTCAGGCAAGTTACCTTTTTTTCTTTAGCAGTTTCTTTATTTATAATAATGGGGAAAATTGTCCGTATCTGAAGGTGTTACAGAGTAAATGCATACAAAGTGCTTAGCTTAGTGCCTCGTCTATAGCAAGCACTCAATACCTGGTAACCATTATAAACAACAAGAATGGGCACTTTTTAAAAGTCTACTAATGAAAACCTGTTCAGGAATACATTTTAGCACTATGCATATTAGAACCATTTAGTAGAACTGCTCTAGGGTCTTCAGCAGTCATAACTGTTCAAGTTTTTCACCTTGGCAAAGCTACATTTCTACAAAGAGCAAGAATATATCATTCTACAAATACTAAGATTTATAAGAACATTGGGCATTTCTAAATACTCAGCTATAAATAATTAAGGCCTGTTTTTACCTTTATCAAAAAGACCAATATACAAATCTAACTAAATAGCAAGACATTCCCTTTTCTTTTTCATTAAAATATTATTTCCAAAATTATAGAAGCAAATAAATCAAGGTATTCACAGTGGCTATATAAGGGTGGAGAGATTAAGGTAGAAGTCGTCTTATTTTCTGAAATTTCTATAATATGTATAAGTGACATTTACAATGAAAATATTTTGAATTATCATTAAACTAAATTATTATGAGAAATCCATTGTACCATCATCCTAGAACTATGAATAAAAAATGAATCCTTTCTATTTTTATTTCTAAAAGAAGGTTTAGAATGTTCTTTTTGTAGTCACATGACAAATATCTTCAATGACATTAAAATAGGCCAAAAATCTTCACCCAGGTCCAAATAGTAGAGGTTGGATCGAGGCCAGGGAGGTTTCATCTCCTTGTTATGGCACCAGTTGCCCTGTTTTATCTCAAGTACCTGTCTCCGCATCTTAATTTCCATGCCTGCTGGCTTTGTTCAGTTCTCGTCCTTTTGCTCTTACGTTATTGCAGTAGTTTCCTTGTAGGGCTGGGCTTGGTGTGCCCCTTGCAATCTACCTTCCATAATGCAGCATGAGTGATGGTTCTAACATGCCAATCTGATTGTTCACTGTCTGCTTTAAGTCTTTCAGTGGTTCTCCATCACATCCTGGCCTCTTCCATACATACCCCTCCACCTTGGGTTAGCCTGTTTTTAGCTTTCCTCTGTCTAGGAATCTTCTCCCCTCTTTCTTCTAGCTAACTTCAGCAAGTCTTTCAAAATGGGGGTCTAGCCCACTCCTTTCTGCAAGTCTTTAAAGACTTCCCATTCTGATCTCAAAGCCTTCTTCTGCTCCCAAATCATCCCCTGCAGCCCCCCCATGGCATTTGTATTCACTCTGTATTGCCATTGTCGATTCATGTCCCCAAGCAACAAGCCACCAGGCATAAGCAACCTGAGGTCAGGCTCAGCCTTGCTTCTTCAGGACCTAAACTTCTCTTGCACATAGCACTTGGCAGAGTTTTAAGGAATTTATAAATATTAACTCATACAATTCTTATAGTAATATATGGTTATTAGAAGAGCACATATAGATCGAGTGTCCATCAGGTGTTGGATACAATTTTAGGCACCGGGGATTCAGAGGTGAACTAGACACACAAACTTCTGATCTCAGTGAGTTTATCTGTTGAGGCAAATAGATGATAAATAAATAGGTATATATATAATACAGTGTGTGGTACTGTGAGAATTAGGAAAATAAAGCAAAAAGGGTGAAATATGACAGATGTATAATTTTAGATGGGATGGGCAGGCAAGACTATGTGGGGAGGGGACATCTGAGCAGAGACTTGAGTAAAGTGAGAAAGTGAACCACATGGATAGGTGGGTAAGGCTGGAGGGGTGGGGTCAGGCGAGGAAAGAGCAAGTGCAAAAGCCCTGAGACAAGAACAGGCTCTACCTGCAGAGGGCATGTGGGTGGAAAGTGGTCGGTGATAAGATATTTGAGGTGGAGGCTTTAGGTCAAATACAGCCTTTCAGGCCATCCTGAGGACTTTATTCACTGGGAGGTGTGGAGCCTGGTGGCACCTGATCTGACTTAATCTTGTAAAGGATCAATGGCTGCTGAATAGAGAACACGGACTGTAGGGAGTGAATAGAAGCAAACAGACCAGTGAAAAGGCGAATGCTGTGGTCCAAACAGCGATGATGGTGACTCAGAATCCCCACCATGGACTCTGGACACACTTTAAAAGCAGAGCAGACACGATCTGTTGATGTGTGGCTACAGAGTGTCGACAGAGAGAAGTCCTGCATGGCTCCAAGGCTTTGGCCTGTTGGTGGGCTGGCAGTGGCATTTATCGAGATGGGGACAACAGTAGGAGAAACAGCCCGAAGGGCTGGGAATGAAGCATTGTTTTGGATCCATATGTCTGAGTTACTACCAGGATTCAGTTTTATCGTCTATGAAATGGAGATGTTTGTTTAATACATTTCTAATGAGAATCAAATGTGATTTCTTTTGATATTCAGGGCTGTCCAACCAACAGCCTGTGGGTCTCATGAAGGCCCAGGATGGCTAAAAATGTGGCCCAATGCAAAATTGTAAATTTACTTAAAGCCTGTTTTTTGCTTATCAGTTTTCATTAGTGTTTGTGTATTTAATGTGTGGTCCAAGACAACTCTTCTTCTAGTGTGGCCTAGAGATGCCAAAAGTGTGTATACCCATTGGAAGGCTTATTTTATTCATACTGATGCTAGGAGTAGAGTTCCCTTTAAAAGAACACAAAACTCCCTCTTATTGGCTAAATAATGCTGCACTTAACTGTCCTCCTATCAAGAGATGATGTTGGTACGGACCTATTCTCCATGCTTTTTTAACATTTATACAGAGCTTATTATGTGCCACTCACTCTTCTAAGGACTTTATAAAAATTAACCCACATAATTCTCTAAAATCCTTTGGAATATATACCTTTATTATCTGATTTTTGCAGATGAAACTGTGGCATAGAGAGGTGAAATAACTTACTTAAGGTCCTACAGCTAATAAATGGAAGAGCCAGGAGTCAACCACTGGTGCTCTGGCTCTGCTTCCAACCTCAATGCCAAGCTCCACATCCCCTGCTCCCTGTGAGCAGTGTCATCTCTGACATGTGATCTGGTCGCTTGTGTACTGAGAGGGTGCCTCGCGTCCAACACCACTGCCTGCACCCTTGCCCTAGTAGGCATTCCTGCCTCGGTTTTTGCAGATTGCTCAAAACAAGCCTGTCAATATTGATGGCAATACCTCCTTTAGTCTCACAGCTTCCTAAGTCTCTGGCAGCCATCTAGAGCACTCAGTATCTCTGTGCCTTTCTTCTAATGCCTTGAGGTCAGCCTCCTCCCCATATTGCCACACACGAACTTTTTTGGTGTCTTGCTCTCTCCACTGTGCCCTGTTTCATTGCAAGCCGTTACAAGTTGTTTTTGGCTTGCAAGTATAGGGTCCTGCACAAATAACACCCCTTTTTTTATTACAAAATCTTTTATTACAAAATCATAAGCATGTAATTCTGTAACATAATATCACACTCAAGCACACCATGTGACATTTTAGGTGAAATGTTCAAATTAAAACTATAAATATTACACTCATATTATTACCCTACCAACTACACTCGAGCAGGCCATACTTCCGCTGGACCCTGTACTTACCACGTTCTCCACTCATCATTTGAGGCAGACGATGTGCCACACTGAGTTGAGTGATGAAGACAAGAGATAAACAAGACACAACCCCTCGCTGACCTCTCCAGGGATTTTGAGCTAGAGGCCAGGTCCCTTTTCTCAGTTTTGGGTCTCCCTTCCCACCACCAAGTGGGCGCAAAGCAGGCATTCAATGAATATTCACGCATTTATTTAGCAAATGTTTCTTGGATGCCTACTACATGCCAGGCAGTCAGTGAGATAGGTGCTGAGGCAATGGCGGGAATCCAGACAAGCTCAGGGTCCCCACAGCTCGAGCCTTCCTTCCTGCTGGTGTACTTGTCAAGTCTTAGGAAGGAAACAGGGTACAAGGAAGATATTGGAGGCCGCGTGAAGCGGCGGTGAAAGGAATTTATTGCGCCAGGCCGAGAGGCTGGTGTGGCATCTAGTCAGGGCTACCCCTCCGACTCTAAACAGAGAAGCGACACACGTGTCCTGCAGTCCCTTCCGGGACGCCTGCTCCTTTGCATCCACCAAATACAACAGCGTCTACGCAGACCTCACCTTCGAGGGGGAAAGCAGTGCTTGTCGAGATAAGATTGGGAGGAAGGCGCTAGGCCAAGAGAGAGCGAACGGAGGGGTGGCACACGACTGAAGGCACTTTTTTTTTTTTTTTTTTTTAAATTTAGGAGAGAGAACTCTACAGTTCACCGCTCCTCTGTTATCTGGTTTCTAATCCCAGACCAGCTGCTTACCTGTTGTGTGATCTTGCCCTAGTCACTAAACCTTCCCAGGTCTGTTACATCATAAGGGTTCCCAAAAACCTTAGGGGTGGTCAGAGGATTAAAAGAGAGAATGCCTGGAAAGCCTCCCTAACACGATTTCCCGCACGCAGAAAAAGCTCCCGGAGCAGAAGCTGTAGCTACCCGCTGCTCACACCTCATTGGGACCCCGGGCCCTGCGGCCAAGCACCGACTACTGTCTTCCCAGGAACTGCCGGCTCGTCGGTGACGGCGCGCCTAGCCTTGAGAGATTTATTAGCTTGCTTGGGGCGGGATTTGGAAAGACGCGCGGAGAAGGAGGTGGTGGAGGGCGAAGAAAGGAAAGAAGCAGAGGGGCAGGAGGCGAGTGAGGCGGCGCCTGGGAGGAGTCGGCCTGGGTTCCTGGGCCTCGCGCAGCGCGCACCCAGAGCCCGCCGCCGCGGCTGGGCGGGGGCGGTGCGCGGCGGCCAATGGCGCGCGGCGCAGCGGCAGGGGCGGTGCAGGAACACCCCGCCGCTGACAGCCAAACTCCCCAACTCCGCCCTCGTCCCCGCGGGATCCCGGAGCCGAGCCGGCCCGGGCCGAGGCTGCCCGAGCCGCGCTGCCAGCGAAGATGGCAGCAGAATGAGAAGGCTGGCGCCGGGTCGTGGCCTCTGCGGTCGCCGCCGCCACGCCGCAGTTTAAGATCCGCGCGCGGCGCCCTCGGAGCCTCTTGCTTAGCTGGCCTCCTGGTGGCCGTTGAATTATTTCATTCCGGGCGGAGAGCGGGGGAGAAAAGGGACCCCGCAGCAGAGCCGTTCCAGGCTCTGGCAGCCTGTAGAGGCTTGTGCGTGCGACACTGGCTGGCTGCGGAAAAGACGCGGGAGAGAGTCAGTCCCGGGCTGCAGTGGCGCGGGTGCGGGGATGAGCCAGCCATGGAGCGGCCTCCGCGGGGTGCACCGAGCCGGCTGGCGCTGCGGCCGGTGTGCCGCCTGAGCCGAGCTCCCGCGGTTCTTCGGTGCTTCAGGCGCCCTGGGGGGGTCTCTGCTGCCGCCTCTGGGAAGGACTGGAGCCCCGCGTGGCGGACACTGCAGCAGTCACTGTACTGAGCCTCCCCGAGACTGCTCTGCCTGCGGCTGGGTGCGCTCTCGGCACCCGGGCGCCTTGCCCAGGGCACGGCGGCTGGCGCACAGCGGCGAGCCGGGTGTAGGACTGGCTAGAGGGGTGTGGGCGCGCGTGTTGGACTGGAGAGCCGAGCTAAAGCAGAACCAGGTGGGCCCGAGCAGCCATGCTTCCCGGGGTGGGCGTGTTCGGCACCAGCCTCACCGCCCGAGTCATCATCCCGCTGCTGAAAGACGAGGGCTTCGCGGTGAAGGCGCTGTGGGGCCGCACACCGGAGGAAGCAGAGGAGCTGGCCAAGGAGATGAGCGTTCCCTTCTATACGAGTCGCATTGACGAGGTGCTGCTGCATCAGGACGTGGACTTGGTGTGCATCAACCTGCCTCCGCCTCTCACCAGGCAGATCGCTGTCAAAACCCTGGGTGAGTGGCCCCTCCCCCACCTTCCCCCCCCAGCCCCGCGCCACTCCGCCTCCTGTCCTTGTTTTTCCCTCTGCTGGTCTCCTCTCTCCTAACCGTCCTCCCAGCGGTTTACATGACATCTACACGGACCTGGGGACCCGAGATACCACATCCCACTCGGAGCGCCGTGTTCCCTCATCCGCGGCCCTCCCCAACTCTGAGCTTCCCTTCTTCCGTCTGGCTCCACCTGGATGCGCTTCCCCCACGTGTGTGGTGCGGAGGCTAGAGGAGGCGTGTGCTCCGGGGATGAGGATGAGGCGGATCCGACGTTGGGGACTGTGGACGGCTGCTCTGAGGGAGAGAAAACTAAGTCCCCTGCTGTGTCTGTAGTGCCTGAGTGTGTGCGTGCGCGCCTGTGAGAGGCGAGTGCGCGCCCAGAAACGCCTGAGTAAAGGGCTCCACAAACGTCTCTGGTTTTCCTGGGGGCGATAGACCACCTGACGTTTGGTTTCTGTGGCGCCCTGCTAGGATAGTTTGTTACTTTCCGCTATGAGTTAGTTTAGTGTGAAATTAAACATGTGACATTCAGCCGTAATTATCTTGTCTTCGCTGAAAGCAGAGATAGCTGGAGTGGTTGGATTCCTGGAGTTGGGGGGAATCTACTGGAACGTCTTCAGGCTTCTGAGAGGTTCAAATGTTAGCGAAGACTGGTTGGACAAAAACCAGAGGGTTTTAACTTTCTCCTGCGGCAGCCCGGGAATTGTCCTCTGCTCAGCTGCGGAGTCGTAGATCTTCAGTTTTTAGGGCATAGGTGCAGGAGTTCCAGAGGCACAGATTCTTTGTGTGGGAAAAGGCCCAACGCTGCCAGTTTCACGTGGAAGCAAGCAGTAGCCCCTCTTGAATTCCTGTCAGAAATAGTTCTCAGGCCTGGTGTTGACAAGCGGGTTGGGATGAGCTCACCACCCCTCATCATCCGGTCCCCCCACCTAACCCGGGCAGTCTGAACAGCCTCAGAGTGTGGTACCAGCACCTCGCCATGCCCAGAGGAAGAAGCAGTGCATGTTTTGTCCATCGGGAGTTCTCACACTGCCCAAGACAATCCCAGGAAGATTGCTCACTCCTTTCTCTCCCAAGAAAAATGCTGGAATTGTATTGGTGAGGAAAGAGACAAAGCACAGATTGCCACAGTAGAGAATTACAAGAGAATATTTGGAAAGGATCAGGGACAGCACCCAGAAACCAGTGGTAATTTATGTAATCTCAGAACAGAATGTTTTACTTATTTATTTTTAATGATATTTTCCTGATTATGCTATTACGGTTGTCTTGATTTTTTCCCCCTTTGCCACCCTCCAACTAGCACCCCCCCACCCCTGGGTTCCCCCCGCCCCCGCCATCCCCCCACCATTGGTCATGTCCATGGGTCATGTGTATAAAGTTTTTCGGCCAGCCACTTTCTGTACTGTACTTTTAAGTCCTTCTGGCTATTCTGTAACTACCTGTTTATACTTCTTAATCCCCTCACCCCTTCGCTCACTCTCCCCCACCCCTCTCCCATCTGGCAACCATCAAAATGTTCTGTGTCCTTGATCCTGTCTCTGTTCTTGTTTCCTTCATTTGTTAAGATTCAACTGATGATAGATATGTATTTTTTGCCATTTTATTTTTCATAATTTTGATCTTTTTTTAAAGATTTTATTTATTTATTTTTAGAGAAGGGAAGGTGAAGGAGAGGGACAGAAACATCAATGTGTGGTTGCATATCCTGTACCCTCCACCAGGGACCTGGCCTGCAACCCAGACATGTGCCCTACACTGGGAATTGAACCGGCGACCGTCTGGTTCTCAGGCCGGCACTCAATCTACTGAGCCACACCAGCAAGGGCTAATCTTCTTTTTCTTAAATAAGTCCCTTTAACATTTCATATAAGAATGGTTTGGTGCTTATGAAGTTCTTTCGTTTTTTTCTTGCCTGGGAAGCTCTTAATCTGCCTTTCGATTCTAAATGACAGCTTTGCTGGGCAGAGCAATCTTGGCTGCAGTTCCTTCCTTTTCATGACTTGGAATTATTACTTGCCAATCCCTTCTAGCCCTTAAAGTTTTTTTTGAGAAATCAGCTGACAGTCTTATGGGAACTCCCCTGTAGATAACTTCTTTTTTCTTGATGCTTTTACGCTTCTCTCTTTATCTTTAACCTTTGACTTTTTAATGATGATGTGTCCTGGAGTGGGTCTGTTTGCTATCCATCTTGTTTGGGACTCTATATGCTTTCTGGACTTGCATGTCTATTTGCTTCACCAACTGAGGGAAGTTTCCTTTCATTTTTTTTTTCCCCCCCAGGTAGATTTCCAGTTTCTTGCTCTTTCCCTTCTTCTGGCACCCCTAAGATGAGGATTTTGAAAGTTGTCCCAGAGGTTGCTTACCACTATCCTCATTTTTTTGGATTCTTTTTTCTTCTGGTTGTTCTGCATGGCTGTTTTTTTGCTTCCTTATGTTCCAAATCATTGATTTGATTCTTGGCTTCTTCCACTCTATTGGTAATTCCCTGTTAATTGCTCTTTATTTCAATTAGTGTATCCTTCATTTGTGACTGGATCCTTTTTATGCTGTTGAGGTCTTCACTAAGTTTCTTGAGCATCCTTATAACTAGTGTTTGTAACTCTGCATCCTATAGATTGCTTATCTCCATTTTGTTTAGTTCTTCTCTGGAGTTTTGATCTGTTCTTTCATTTGAGCCATGTTTCTTTGTCTCCTTGTTTTGGCAGCCTACCTGTGTTTGTTTCCATGTATTAGGTAGAGCTGCTTTGACTCTGTGTCTTGATAGTGTGGCCTAATGGAGTAGGTGTCCAGTAGGGTCCAGTGACATAGCCACACCTATCACACAAGCTGTGTACTTGAGGTGCATCCTTCCTGTGGGCTCAGTACACCCACCTCTTATAAGTTGAGCCTTGGTTGCTGTTGGCAGATCAATGGGAGGGATTTACCCAGGCCAGTCAGCTGCAAGGACTGGTTGTGACCACTGACTGCCAACAGTGGAAGATCAGCTGTGTAGGAGCAGGTTAGTAGTGCTCCAAAGTGGTCTGTAGCTGTCCGGTGGGTGTGCAGGTTCTATGGTTTCCCAGGTGGTGCAGGCCAAGATCAGCCCCCACCTGTATTTTGCCTGGGCCACCCTGCCTGAGCTATAAAGCAATCTGAGGGTGGCTGCTACTTGTGCTGGGCTTGGAGATTCCCAGGCAAAGCCAAGCTGTGAATCTAGGCTGGCTGCTGCTAGTGCTGGGTCTGGGGCTCACTGAAGCTGGCTGTTGCTTCTTTGATAGGATTTAGGAAGTTGTGAAGAAGGAGGCAAAACCAGCTATTCATATAGAAAGGCAGCTTGGGTGGGCCCATAGGTTGGGTGGGGCAGAGTCTCTGGGGATCTCTAAAGTGGGTCAAACAGTGTTGGCCTGGTTGATGGAGTCTCAGTTAAAGCAACAGCTTGCCAGCTCTGTGTGGGGAGGTTTTAGAAAAGGGACAATGGCCTCTGCTTGCTTTGATGCCTGGCACTTCAGCTTCTCCCTGTATGCCACTGGTGGCTTTCAAGCTGCTACTCCAGTGCTAGAACTCAGAGGGAGAGAGTCTGAGTAAATCCATGTGTATGGATTATTTAAGAGGAACTGCTTGGGGCTCCAGATGTTTCTTCCACCAATTCAAGTCCCCTCTGGTTTTTGCAGCCAGAAGTTGTGGGGGCTTATCTTCCTGGCACTGGAGCCCTGGGCTGGGGGACCTGGTATGGGGCTGGGACTCCTTGCTCCCAAGATATCCTTCCCAAATTTTTTATCCACCACATGTGCATGTGGGCCCAGCCCGTTCTGTGTCTGCACCCCTCCTACCAGTCTGGATGGATGTGGTTTCTTTAATTCCATAGTTGTCGGACTTTCATTCCACTCAATTTTGTAGTTGTCAGACTTCTATACAACTCTTTTTCTGATTGTTCTGAGTGATGATTGTTCTATATTTTGGTTGTCATTTTTATGCAGTTGGGCGAAGAGGTGGGCCGTGTGTGTCTACATTGCCATCTTGACCAGAAGTCAATCAGAATGTTTTATTTCTAAAAACAGTGTGGATTTGGAGTAGGTGAATGTACATATATTTTAATTCTGTCTTCAGAGACCTGTGAGCAGAATGTAGAGCTCTTTCTCCCTAAAACATTCTTGACAGGACATTCTGCTGTTGACTCCAATGGCACATCTGATATAATGGGCTGCCCAAAGCCATCAGTTCTCAGGTTAATTTTTTAAGCTTCTGACCTTCATTGCCTGGTTCCTTTGGCCTTGAATCAAATATCACTGTATTCTGGCTCATATTTCTTTTCTGTTTCATATAATGTATGTGTTGGGTAGTTAACCTTCATGGTTACTGTGGATCTGTGCATATCAAATAGATTATAGCCATCCTATAATATAAGTCTGTTAGGGCAATTTGTATAAAACATGCCCATGTTGAGCCCCATGTCTACTGGAGGGCATATGACTGGTCAAATCAGAAAGACCTTGTTTGACATCACTTCTCCCCTCAAGGGCAGCAGAGTCCTGTAGGTCAGACCCACAGAACAACTCTAGAGCACGTCTCCAGGAGAGTGGCAATTTGGGGAACAAGCATCTTCTTCTTTTCTGAACATCACTGGTGCTTTAGCCGTGAGAGTATTTGGGGCCACTGGCTTTGAGAGAAACACACATTATATATTTCTCGATACTTCTTATTTTCAAAAATCCCTATGATTTTTTTTCCTTGATAAGACTAAGATGAGACAAGTGTAAGAGATGTAAGAAATAGACTTAGTTTAACACTCATGACTTACAGAACAGTGTTTTGTTCATGTCTTCATGGTAGGTCTTGGGCTTTTTTTAAATTCCTGATTTTGCAGGCAATTTGAGGTTGTCTGTGATTATAGAAAACGTGGGGCATTGGACTGAGAGGGGGCTGGAGTTTACTTTCCTTGCAGACTCCATCTTCTCTGGAAATTCCCCAGAGGTCGCTTTCCT